CTGGGAGTTGAAATCCACAAGTCTCAAGCTTGCCAAGTTTGAAGACCCTTGGTTTGCTATGGATCAATCGCCATGTAATGCTGTGCAAAAATAGAGACTTTATCCAAGGCATGGTTGTACTGTCTCTCTCATGCAGGTCAGAATATAATGCCTTCTGGCGATGTGTGCAGGCAGGAGCCACCTACCTCTTTGTCCAGCTATGCAAGGTAATGGGTTAACACCTTGTTGCTAAAGAAGGGCTGAAGGGCTGAATGCGAATCTGGGTGCAAAGACATGAGGGCTGTAATGGTAAAAAGTTGCAACGGACTCTTCTCTTTCTGTCTTTTACAGATGCTGTTTTTAGCTACATTCTTTCCAACCTGGGAGGGTGGTGCAGGAGCTTATGATTTCGTTGGAGTAAGTGTGGTTGTTGGCAAGCAAAGAAGAGTCTTAAAAGTTGGCATTTTGCATACAGCTAGATGCTCAAGAGACACATGTATTTACGAAACAAAAATCCAAAGGACAGTGGGGTTTTTGTTTTCCTCCTTTTTGTTTTCCATTTCTATTTTCCTCTATTTTCCTATTTTCAACCTAGGCCTGAAAATGCGTCGTCATCTATAGAATAGAATAGAATAGAATAGAATAGAATAGAATACTTTATTGGCCAAGTGTGATGGGACACACAAGGAATTTGTCTTGGTGTAAATACTCTCAGTACACATAAAGAGAAGGTATATTCGTTAAGAATCAAGAATCATAACATACAACACTTAATGGTAGTCATAGGGTAAAATCAACAATCAAATCATACTAGGAAACAGTCAGTATAAATCGTAAGGATACAAGCAACCAAATTACAGTCCTACAATCACAAGTGGGAGGGGATGGGTGATAAGGAGTGATGAGAAGATTAACAGTAATAGTAGTGTACACTTTGTAAATAGTTTGTAAATAGTTTGTAAATAAATGCTGAAGGCGGCAGAAAGTTTTATTAAATAACTACTTTCCTAAGTAAGACCATCTTACTGAGATAAATAACTTTTGAGTATAGAGTAATTTGGGGTTTGAGTACATTGTTTGGACAGGGGGAAGTGAGTATATTTTGCAAATCTGTAGCACTGTAATCTCACTTCCATTAGCAAATAATAGTGTAAGTTTTGGAGCATAAGTATGAATACTGGCTGCTACTGCCTGCAGAGCCTGTCAGAGACCTAACCGAATGCTCTTTCATCACACTCTTACTTGGTTGGATGTGCGTGTGTGAACCTTTGGGGTTGAAACATGGAGTTTGCTTGCCTGCTTCTGAGCTTTGTCTTGTGCTTCAGGAGTTCATGAAAGCTACCGTAGACCTGGCTGACTTGGTGGGTCTGCACCTAGTGATGTCCCGGAACGCGGGAAAAGGGGAATATAAGATCATGGTCGCTGCACTGGGCTGGGCCACGGCGGAGCTCATTATGTCTCGGTGAGTTGGATTTATCACTGCTCAGAAAAGGGAGGGGAGGAACTAGATTGGCATTTGCTTGCCCATGTTTTTGATGATGGCTCGACAAAGCAGCCTGCAAGGCCCCCGTGCAAAGTTTTGCGTCCCTGTCTTCATGAGGTTTCCCATCCTAATTGCCTCTGTGCTTCCAACAGATGCATCCCACTGTGGGTGGGAGCTCGTGGCATTGAGTTTGATTGGAAATACATTCAGATGAGTATTGATTCCAACATCAGCCTGGTAAGTGTTAATTTTCTCCCAGTTTTCGGTTGAGCTCTAAAATGATACCTCGTGTGACAGGATTAAATTATTGAGGACTAGGAAGATGTTTTTTGTTTACTGAGAGGGTTGGGGTTTTTTTTGGTAATGTATGTAGATTTGGCTCCCTGCTATATACATTTGGATTGGCAGTCCAATGAAAAATATCAATCGGTTCATTAAATTTGTTGAACTTTGCATGTGAAAGAGTAAAATAAAATATTTCACAGACAGGGCATTCATATACTTTCATGCATTTACTAGAATTTAATTTTAAAACACTATGTCATGAATGTGTGCATGTGTGTGTGCGCGCACGCACACACATCCTATTCTGTAATCAAACATGACTTCAGTAAAGAATTTCCCAGACTGTTTCTTTGATGGAGAAAAAACTCTTAAGGCCGTGTTTCTCAACTATAGCTACTTGAAAACTTCAGTTCCCAGAATTTCCCAGCCAACCAGTTTGGGAGTTGAAGTCCGCACACCTTCAAGTTTCTAATGCTGAGAAACAAGGAACTGGGTTTCGTACCCAAGAGCTAAAATGGAAACTGAGTGAACTTAGGAGCCAGCAAAGCACTAAGGGGCATCCTGAACTTAGAGGGTTTTGTAAAGGAGAAAATTGAACAAGGGCAGAGCTGGCTAGCTAGCTAGCATTGGAAGAAGCATATTTGGATTTTATACTGCAATGTTTTTATAAATCCCAGCTGACTTGAATGTCAGATATTCTGATTGGCAGTTAGATTTTGGAAAGTATTTGGAAATCTTTCCTTATCCCTCCTATTGTGCCCTTTCAGGTTCATTACATCGCCACCGCTGCCCTGGTGTGGATGTTCACCCGCTACGATTTACCCAAACATTACCGACTGCCCCTTACTTTCCTCCTGGGTGTCAGTATCTACAAAGCCTTCTTTATGGAGTGAGTGCTCTTGGTGGAATTAAAGTGGCCAAGGGAGGTTACTGGGGTGGTGGTGATGGGACCTTGGGAACTTCCAGATTCTTGGTTCAAGTCTCCCCTTTCCTTTAGTTTCTGTACAACAATCCTTTTCGCCCCAGAACTGAGTAACCTTTTTGTACGAGTGAGGAATTGAAGCTGGGCCTCCCGTATCCTCACCATAGCTCTCCCTTCCTTTTAAAATTCCCCTTCCTCTTCTCAAAGAATCAAGGCTTTCCTTTGCTCGAATGCTTGGAGAACTTTCCCATCTCAGTATTTGTGCTAGATCAAAAAAGAGTAAAAATTGTGGGAGGGGGCCTGCAATCACAACCACCACCTTGACTTTCTTTACCCTCCCCCCACCCAGTGGACGCCCCTCCCTGTGTCTACATTTGCTTGTATTCCTCCAACACCAAAAGCCATCATGTCAGCTTGCTGGCTCTTTCTATTACAAACTCGACAATTTTTTTAAACCAAGGAGAGTTGGTAGCTGATCATGCGTGTGATTCACAGTATCTTGGTTCATTGCAGTGTGCAAATCAAGCTTGGGATATTGATGCAATAGTGGGGCGTTGTTGTTGTTTTTTGCCGGCCTTAAAATCTCAGGCTTCACCTCCTTCTCTCTGCTTTTCTAGGTCATTTGTGCACGTCTTTCTCCTGGGTAGCTGGACTGCACTTCTGGTGAAAGCGGTGATCACTGGCCTCCTTTCCTTCAGCTCCCTGGCACTCTTTGTCACCCTGGTACACAGCAACTGAAGCTCCACCAATTGTTACTCCCACTTGAGTGACCGTGTCTTTGTACATCCTAAGATCGCCCAGCTACGGATTCTGTTTGCGAAGGTGTGCAGGCCTTTGCACTTCCTTTCTGCGCTGAGACCGGTTCCAGTTACGATCACTGTGGCATTCCAAGAATGATGCTAATTTAAAAAGTATTATTTATACTTTGCCCAGTTTGAATTCATTTGGCTGTTCTCTGCGTTATGATGGTATTTATGCAACCCAATAAGCCAACAAGAGGGATATCACTAAACCAACAAGTATAGACAATAATTTCATATTCCTACCCTGTTCAATCTTAGTTCTATTGCATCGGCATCCATAACCAGCTAGAATAACATAAAAATGACAACACGTAGTAAGATATCATTACAAGGTAACACTTATTATTATGGCATTGTATGCAAGGACATCAATCATATTATAGGCTACATCATTTGCATCGTGATGTGCCTGGCACTCTTCCCTCATAGAAACTGTTGCCATATTATCTAAGCTAAACTGGGTGGGGTTTGGAGAAGTTCAAAGATAAAGGCACAGTGAATTTTAGTAATAACGCTTGAATTACATTTGAAGCTGAGGTTATCTAGGATTTGGTGTGTATAAAGGTTTGCAGGCAAAGCCCTACGTAGCTGGGGATAAAATGGCAAAATTAAAATTAAGGCTTTTATGGTTTGGCCTGTCATGTGGATAATAATAAAGTGGGTCTTGATTTTTCCTCTTGCACATGGCATGGATGCTGCCTTTGCTAAAGGCCATCATGATGGAGAATGTTGTGATGTAGTTCCAAGTTGGTAATGAGAAACACAGGATTATATGAACAGGCATCTTCTGAGGTCCCTCTTCACGTGATTTTGGCAGCAAAAGAGTTCTCATTCTACAAATCATTTTTGTTTTGTTCAGGGAATGTGAACAGTAACTGGCTAGATTTAGGGAGCATTATGATGACACTTTTTGGAAACCTCTGTAGTCCATGTGCATATATATCTAATTGTCCTTCCTACTGGTAAAGCAACAGAAGCAGAAAGATTCATTTTTGTCCCAGGGTGTATATAATACTTAATTTTTTTTTTAGATAATAACTGATGAATACCAGCAAGTACAGTTACATGAAATATACTAGCCCAAAGTAAGTAAGTCTGACTCTCGGGGTATTTTCTTCTGCAGGAACTGGGTTCTTAAAAACGATTAAATGAGACTTTGTGGGCACGGTGATCCTTCCCTTTAATTCAGTCTTATAGTTAGCTCCACATCGATGAGCGAATTGACTGGAGAAAGATGGAAGGATCATTCTTTTTATTCATAGGGTGGTAGCCGTGGAAGAAGGGAAGTCGCCCACATGTGCAGGAGGTGGTTTGTGGTGGTGGTATGATCTGCCTGTCTGATAACTGATGAATGATTTCAAAATAACACCATTACGCAAACAACAAAATTATTTACTTGTCTCATAAAGTATGGCGCAAGTCTATAAATCATGTTTGCCTGATGCCGTCATAAGGCGTATATCATCTTTTTTCTTATTGCAGTCCATTGTGCCCTAGGGTAATCAGAATTTGAAGGAATGGAAGATACGTTTAGATAGCTTCATTGTCTGGTTACCTTGAAGGGAGGTTGCTTGCCTCCTTTCATCCACTATGTGAAACTTCTCCTGTGTAAGATTTATGCTTTGGGAACTACTAATCCAATGAGACCAAAAGTCCAAATCATGCAGAAATTGAAAGTGAAGCTAATGTGCCATTGCATATCTTATATATGTTTTTTTTTTAAAAATCTGCTTTTTCTATGGAGAGGGCAAACCACTTACTCAACCTGCTCAGCTTATTCTTCCTTGATATCATATTGCCTTATTTGCAGGCTTGGGGTTTTGAAACCTATTATATTTTGGAAAAAAAAAACCACAACACTTTATATCTCTACCAACGTTTATATTTGGTTTCCATCTCAAGGACTGTCCATTTCCCCTAGCATATCAGCACCTCCAAATATTTTTTTTTTCTTGATGATGGGCAGATTCTTGTCCCAGAGTAGCTAGAGCAGGACGTGTGGAATATGGAATTTCATCATAGGAAGGGTAAGAAATTCAGCAAGCTCAGTTGAAGGTGTAGCTAATGAAGAAAGCAAATCCTAGGCTCCTTCGTACTGCAGTATTTTGCACCCACAGGGAGCATCCCAGGCAGCACAAACCATGCCAGTGGGGACGTATTTGTGCTCAGAGTTTCATCTTTAATAGTAAAGTTCTTTGTCCCACCAACCTGGAGGAAAGAAACAACGTGGGGATCAGACTGAGGGTGACAGTGATATCATTGATGCCTACAGCACTTTGTCAGACGATGGAAAAACAAAGTGGTGTACCCTTAGTGGTATAGCACTATTTCTGAATGATCCAGGATTGATAATTGCAGTAGAAGATGTCTGAATCAAACCTTGTGTGAACCTTATGCCAACTTGTGCCTCCCTCCTCTCCTTACCCATTCTTGGGACTTACTTCCAGGGTGTCTCCGGACTCCCAGTTTTCGGATTTCGTCATACACAAAGATGAGAAAGCCAAACGGTAGAGGCACTAACCACCACTGGAATCTAGACGGGGCAGGGGAGCAAGAGAATGGAAAAAGTTAAGGTTAACAGCTTTAAAAGTTAGCCTGCTGAGCTAATCGTCTTTGAGTGAAGTAGCTCAAAGCATACGGGAACTGGGCATCGTTCTGCCACACAAATATGGTCCCAAAGCTTTGTTTTTCAGTCTTTTATCCGTGTTTTCTCCTGCTAGGTCCGAGGAAAAAGGGGACAGTTGTAAGGTAGGGCAGTAGTGGCTGCTGTCCTTGGTGCTGAGCTGAGCTGCAGGAAGTTCCCTCTTGTGAGAGGATTTGCTCTCTCCCGCTTAGCTAAAAGGGAGAATTGGATCAGGAGGACTAAATTGTAGCCTTCTAGCTCTTTAACTCCTCCTTGTCTTTCCATGTGTCTGTACTTACTGTTGTTTTAAGGTGATGTGTAAATGAGCCACAGTTGCTTTGTTGAATTTAATATCTAAATGTTTGATGGCATGACATAGCAGGCAATGGAAGTGCAGCTGGAGAAAAATGCGTATTAGAGCAAGTTGAGTAAGGATTTCTAAAATGTGAAGTGTGGTTTCCTAAAGAAACAAGAAATGATTTGTGAAGGAGAGGAAAATAACTAGGATGTAAACCCTGAATTATATATATAAAGAATATAAACCTAAAGAGAGACAGTGAGGTACAGTGGTAAAGGACCAGAAATGGGGAGGCTCAAGTTTTAATCAGCCTTCAGCTATAGAAGCTTCCTTCTATATTTTGGGCTGGCTTCTTCAACCTTACCTACCTCATAGGGTTATTGTTTTGGGAAAAGAGTTGGAAGAATTTGCACTATAGGCTGCCTTGAGCTCTTGTTATAAATGGTAGGTTGTAAATCAAATATATAAATATAGTCATTGATCTCTGTGCACTGCAGTGGACAAATCTGTATCTCCAAACTTCATGTTTTATTTTTTGTGCGATTAGTAGAGATTGTTGAGTTTTCTGGGAGGTTTTTTTGTTTTGTTTTGGTTGAGTTAGCTAATTCCTGCATAAAGGGTAAAGTGTCTGGAGAGTTGAGATTTATAGCCATGCTAAGCGTGTAGTAATTTCCTACAATGGAGGGAGGGGGAGAAGCAAGAATTGGGAAGGGAATGTTGGTTTTCCTCATTCATGTTTGCCAGAGTCGCTAGGATTCTTACGTGATGCAGCATTGAAAGCCATTTCTTGCAAATCGCAATGTGACACAAAACCAACCACGCAAAATCATGCCTCTGAGGTTTTGGGGAGACACGTTCAGAGGTGGCTATGGGCTTTTCTAAATAGCTCTGCTCTGTAGCATGTCTTCATGAGAAGATTCGAGAAGTGGTTTTGTCAGGTTAGAATACCAGTTGTACGAGTTCTTACCGTATGGGCATAAAATTGAAGATATTGGGCATCCCAGGGCAATAACAGAGGAAGCAGCCTATACAGACCTGGAACACAATAGCGATCACCAAGATCTTATTTCTGAAAGAGAAAGAGATGAGTAGGGCTGGATGGAAGGTGTTCTTGATTTCTGCTTTGGATAGACCAGGATTGGATGATGGTCAATTGATCATTGGCAGAACTGGATCACTCAGTGGAAAGAAGCCAATTCCAGGGTACGAAGGCAAATATTCCTATTCTGCTGTTGAATTTCCAAAATGGTCAAATTTAGGGAGAACTCAAATTTGACCTTGGGTTGGGGAAAGCTGCAATGTGCTTTGCCAGTTTTTCTGGGAAAGGAGCTTATTCCCTGGGCTCATGCTTGGTTCAGATTTACCCATCATTAGCATCACTTGGTCAGGAAAACACACTCTCCAACCAACACAAATACAAAAACTAAGAACGAAAACAGGAGGTCGTCAAACAACAGGTTGAATTTGTTGAGTTGGAAAAATTAAGGAGAAAGATTCCAGCTGTAGAATCTATCAGCAAAGTTTAAATTCCAGCTGTAGAATCAGTCAGCAAAGTTTTGCCTGCTAGAAAAAATTTTTTTCTTAGAGATTTAGGATATCTGAAATCCTTCCTATTACATTATAAGTATCAGTTTTGCAACAAGAGGACCAGTTCTTCAATGAGCCAAATGGGTTCACGGTTACAGCCTAATTCAATTTTTTTGATAGCTCAAAGTCTCCACTGTATTGTTGGACAATCCTGAAGGTTCCTTCATATTAATATTTTGTTTACTGATCACAATGCTGTCAACATCTCAAAGCAACCATTGGCTACTGTCCTTTTTTATGTATAATATCACTATATAAAAGACATGAATTTGAAAAACTATGTTCCTAGCTGTGCCAGACTAGGAAGATCTCACTGGGAGCTGCTGGGGTGTGATCTACCTGAAGAATCCTTGCTGGAAGACAGAAAGTCGTCGTGTCTTGCGGATAAGCACATCTGCAATCTGGCACATCTCAATGCTGATGAAGAAGACAGTATAGCAGGTGTACTGTTGGTAAAGACGTTGTCCAAATGTCTGGGAAGAGAAAGAAACAGTGGTAGGATGAAGGAAAATTCAATAGATGACCACCAGCCATGAAATAAACCCCCAGAACTGCTTAGATATTGTTGAAGTTCTAAAACAATACAGAGTTTCCTCCTCCTCCTCCTCCTCCTCCTCCTCCTCCTCCTCCTCCTCCTCCTCCTCCTCCTCCTCCTCCTTCATCATCATCATCATCATCATCATCATCATCATGTTAGTGGTCCTATTTTTATCAACAGCCGCACAAAAAAGTGTTGCTGAGTTTTGTCCAAACCAGTCCCTGGTTTATTGGTTTACTCATGGAAGAGAATATTTTCAGCTCAGGGTTGAATGGTGGCGTCCTTGGTGTTCTCTGACTTTGATTGTTTTCTTGAAGATATTTCATTACCTAACTAGGTGACATCATCAATGTTAGAAGGGAGTGGGGGTTTGTTCTCTATATACTAGTGGCTTGCCCTATCAGTGATAGTGGGCATGTTCTCCCAATCCATGCAAACAAGCTAAAAGTAAACAATCTAATCAAGGAATCATCAAGAGCAGGGCTCTCCAACCTTGGCAACTTTAAGACTTGTGGACTTCAACTCCCAGAATTCTTTGCTGGCTGAGGAATCCTGGGAGTTGAAGTCCACAAGTCTTAAAGTTGCCAAGGTTGGAGAGCCCTGATCAAGAAGACTCCCAGTTACCAGGTTGGGTAAACATGGCCTGTGATTAAACAGTCTTGAGTTCCAACAGTTGGAGCATTAGGTTGGGAGTCTGGTTGGTCTTTCTCTTCTCTACTCACCCACTCTTGGCCATAGCTGTCTTGAAGATCCTGGATATGATCGTTCTCCCAGGTGGCTCGGAGCCCTACGCACTTCAGTGGGAACCAACCCTCTTGTGCCATGGCGGTGAAGTAATCAACAAAGCCAGCACAGGACTGGAGGGCTCCTGCAAGGCAAAATGGCACTGGTTGTGTTGGATTTCTGCTCCCGCTGCATCTTGGCTTCAAGACTTTTAAGCCAGGGGGTTTCAATGTTTGGGTGAGCCCAGGGATGGGATCTGACCAGTATAACTACCGGTTCTGTTGCTCTGAGTTGCGCGAGTGCAATTTACGACCTGCTGAGCTGCCCAGACAGCTGATCAGTGCTGTGTACAGGTGCGCAGCGGTTGGAAAAGCCCTTTTTTCCTGCTTTTTTTTTTTTTTTTCATATAAATTTTATTGAATTTACAATTTAAAAAAATAACATAACAACATTACATAAGAAACAGGGAGAGAAAAAGAAGAAAGAAAGAAGAGAAAGAGAGGGAAAAAAAAAACAAAAACGCTCGGTCTTGCGACCGAAAAAGGAGAAGAAGAAGTATAAAAGAGAGAAAAAACAACAAACAAAGAGACGGAAGAAAAAAGAAAATACGTTAAAACCAGACAAATATTCTTTTTGACAGTCTACAAGATCCAATTCTCCTACCTTACTTTAAATATACACATCTTATCGCTATTTATGGATATTTATGCTTATTTATGCTCATTGAACAGTTTATCTCTGATATAACCAATTATACCATGCATTCCAATTATTATCAAATGCTGAAGACTCTTTATTTTTAAGAGCTATGGTTAAATTGTCCATTTCTGCGCAGTCACATATTTTCTGAATGACCAATTGATCTGTAGGTAAACGGGATGATTTCCAGCACTGGGCAAATGCTAATCTGGCCGCAGTTAGAATATGAATTATTATGTATTTCGTCTTTTTAGGAAAATGTTTATCAGAGATCCCTAGTAGGAAGAACTCTGGTTTGTATTCAATTTGATCTTTGGTTATCTCCTCCAGCCATTTTCTAATTTTTTGCCAGTATTTCTGGGCTTCTTTACAGGTCCACCACATATGAAAGTAGGTTCCCTCTATGTTTTTACATTTCCAACATTTTGGACTAGAGTTTGGGTTCATTTTCGCTAACCTCGAAGGGGGTAAGTGCCATCTATATAACATTTTATACATATTTTCTTTGTACGCTGCAGATTTCGTAATCTTAATGATTCTATTCCAGATCTTTTCCCATTCTGTTAATGTAATGCTTCTTCCAATATTCCTACTCCACATTATCATGTTCCCTTTCACTATCTCTTGCTCTAATTCTACCTCCAATAAATATTTATAAAATTTAGAAATATTCTTTTTATTTGATCCTAATAAGATTTTATCTAAGTGTTGTAATTTGCTATAAATTCCAAACTCTTTGATATCTTGTTTGTATCTACTATGGATTTGTATATATAACCACTGATCAATTTTAAATCCCTGTTCCTGTAAGTCCTGTCGAGTTCTTAGTTTCCCTAAAGGATCTAATAAATCTTTATATTTAGTCATTTTTGTTATATCCAAATTGTTGGGATGAACCATTGCCTCCATTGTTGAAAGCCAAATCGGAATTTTTAAATAATGTTTTTTACATATTTTTTTCCAATTAGTTAATAGTGAATCTCTAATAAGATGTCTATGAAAGTACGCCTGTTTAGTTTTCCCCACATCCCATAGAAATGCGTGCCATCCTCTCTGAAGGTCGTGCCCTTCCAAGGCTAGAGTTCTTTTATTCCGTAAATTGACCCAGTCTTTTAACCATAGTAAGTTGGCTGCCCAATAATATAATTCCCAGTTTGGAAGCGCTAGCCCACCTCTACTTTTTGCATCTTGTAAGGCCTTAATACTGATTCTAGCTTTTTTCCCTTGCCAAATAAATTTAAGAGTTACCTTATTTATATCATCAAAAAATTTTTTTGGTAATTTTATTGGGATTGTCTGGAATAAGTAAAGGAGTTTTGGTAAAATGTTCATTTTGATTGTGGCAATCCTACCCAGTAAAGAAAGCTGCAACTTATTCCAGGATTCTAGATCTTTCTTAATTTGCTGTAACAGTTTATCATAATTATTCTCTTTGAGCGATTTACTATGTGGTGTTAACCATATGCCTAAATATTTGACCTTTTTTGTTGCCTGTATCCCCATGGTTTTTTCTAATTCTTTCCTCTGGTTCTCTGTTAGATTTTTAGTCAGTAATTTCGTCTTATTTCTGTTGATCTTTAGTCCTGCTACTGAACCATATTGTTCTAGTTCTTTTATTAGATTATGTCCTTTCTCCATGGGATCCTCTAGGAAGAAAACCATATCGTCTGCAAACGCCTGTAATTTATATTCCTCTGCCTTGACCCTAACCCCTTGAATTTCAGGATTTTGTCTTATCCGCGTTAACAATGATTCTAAAGCAAATATAAATAAGAGGGGTGAGAGAGGGCAACCCTGTCTAACGCCCTTTTCAATGCTTAGTGGGCCTGTTTGTTCACCATTAATTAGTATATTGGCTTGTTGGGTATTATAAATTGTTGTGATAATATTCTCGAATTTAGTGCCCAGATTCATGTTATAGATTTTTTGTATTAAGAAGTGCCAATGTAAGTTATCGAATGCTTTCTCCGCATCTAGAAACAAGAGTGTAAATTGTTTCTCTGGATGAGCTTCATAATATTCTAAGACGTCAATAACGGTTCTTAAATTGTTTTTAATTTGGCGGAATGGAAGGAAACCATTTTGGTCTTCATGAATGTATAAATTTAAAACTTGTTTTACTCTATTCGCAATAATTGAGGTAAATAATTTATAATCGGCATTTAAAAGTGAGATTGGTCTATAATTGTTGATATATCTGGCATCCACATCCTCCTTCGGAATTAACGCAATCAACGCCTCCCTCCATGAGTCTGGCATTTTGGCAGCCGAAAGTACTTCGTTAAACACTTCCAGCATCAGAGGCCCTACTAAATCTAATGTGGCTTTATATAATTCTACTGGAATCCCATCTGGACCAGGGGATTTATTATTACATTGATTTTCCATTGCAGATTTTAACTCAGACCATGTAATATCCTTATTTAGTAATTCTTTGTCTCCTTCCCCTATTGTTTTATCATTCGTATTCTCCAGATAAGTTCTTATTTTATCCTCATTGATTTCTTCTTTTTTATATAATCTTTGGAAATAGTTTAATATAATATCCTTTTTCTTCTCAATCTCATGTTGTGGGATGCCTTTCTCATCTATTAATTGGTGTATCAATCTCTTTTCTTTTTCTTTTTTAAGTTTATAAGATAGCCATCTTCCTGGTTTATTGGCGTGTTCAAAATAATTTTGTTTGGACCTTCTCAAGCTAACTTCTATTTTATCTTGTTCAATTAAATTCAGCTTATGTTTGGCTAGTATTAACTGATTTTGTAGTCCTTGGGTCTTAGGGGTTTTTTGTAATTGTGTTTCTAAGTCTTGGATTTGTTGTTGTAACGCGTTTTGTTGGGCATAAATTCTCTTGTTTCTCATAGCATTATAAGAAATTGTTGTGCCTCTTATAATTGCTTTCATAGTATCCCAAATGTTCTGTTTTGAAGTTGTTTCATTATTATTATCTTTTAGAAAATAATTTAGCTCCTCTTTCAGTTTATTAATATACTCTTCTTCGTTTACAATTTGGTTATTTAGTGTCCATCTTTTTTTTATTCGTCTCCTATCCCTCCAAATTAGCTGTATTGGGTTATGATCAGCCCATTCATTCGGTAGAATTTTGATTTCTTTTATTTCATTAGCCAAGTCCAAATCCATCCAAGCCATATCTATTCTGGTCCAAGTCTTATGTGGGTTAGAATAATATGTAAATTGTTTTCCTTCAAGATTCCGTTCCCTCCATAGATCTTTTAAATTTAACTCTCTCAACATTTCCTTACATGCTGCAGAGAGTTCCCTTTTCCCCTTCTTGTTTTTCCCCATATTACTATGGTCTTTCTGGTAGTCTGCAATGGAGTTAAAATCGCCAATCAAGCAAATGTTTCTTTTTTCAAAGCCTACTATTTTTTGGTGAAGGTGTTTAAAAAATTTCCCCTGGTCATCATTTGGGGCATAGATTGCTACAAGTAAAAATGTGATGTAGTTTATCCAAACTTGTATAACCAGAGTTCTTCCTTCGGGATCCGACCAGATTAGTTCTGCCTTTACATCTTGTTTTACATAAATTGCAATTCCTTTTTTCTTGTGTTGGTCGGCCGGTGCTGTAAAAAGTTTACCTAATTTTGGACAAATTAGATGTCTTTCGTCATTCTTCGAAATATGTGTCTCTTGAAGACATATTATATCTGCGTTATGTTGAATAAGTTTTGAGAATATCCTTTTTCTTTTTAATAATGAATTTAATCCGTTTATATTGATGGGGAGTCTCAAGTGAGAGGACAGGAGATCGGAGGTGAAGAAGTCTGGTGCAGGCTTCGAACACCTTTTCTGGCGTCAGGAGCGATCCCCCAGGGATACATGAACCCCGGAGAGGTTCGTGTCAACGTGGAGATCCTCGAGCTGCAGAGGGGGGAAGGCAACTCCCCAACAGTGAAGAGGGAAGCTCCCGAGCTCGGCGCTAAAGAGTAAGCTGTCATTTTATGGTGGCTTCCAATCCGGTCTGCCACTTGAGTGAATAAGCAAAGCAGTGACAGCCTGCGAGATCCAGTAACAGGAACAGAGAAACGGTTTATATCTTGGATTCTTTGAAGTCTGAAGGGAGTAGAATGACAGAAGAATGATAGCATAAATTCTTCTCTCCTGGTTGTGATAAGCACCTCTTGGAAGTCGGGCGGAGAGCGGCCAGAAAAGCAATTGGGGAAGCTTTGGGGAAAGAGAGAGATTGCTAAAACCTGGAGATTGGAGATCCGGAACTGGTCTGAGCACAACATGACTATTACATCTACTTAATATTGGGGAGAAGATAAATTGAGCATTATATTGGACTTTGGAAGATTTGTATGTGGATTTAAAAGTTGGAAAGCAAAGAAAGAAGCAGCAGCAAGAGGAAGAAGCCAGAGGCGAACAGAACGCTGGGAAAGATGGTTTTGGGACTGCAGATTAGTCAGCACTTTTCACCATTTG